GGGGCTGGGAGCCTCCGCGTCTCTCTCTCTCGTCTCTCTGGGGGCGCTTGTGGGGCGGCCTCCATGGGCTCCGCTGGGCTCCCCCTGGTGCTGCTGCTGCTGCTGGCGGGGGCGCTGGCCCGGATCCCCGGAAGCGAAGGGGGGAAGGAGACCCCCGGTAAGGAGGGGGCTCGTCGAGGGAGGAGAGGGGCTGGGGGGGGCCGTCAGAGACCCTGGGGGTGGGGGGAAGAAAGGGGCTGGGACCCCAGAAGTGGGGAAAGGGGTCGAGGGTAAGAGAGACGGGAGACTGCGGGAGCCTCGATCTCCGCGTGGTCTCCGCCCCTGCCTCCCCTCATTTCCCCCCCCCGCAGGACGGAGAGGGAGCCCCCTCCCCTCTTCCCTTGTTGTGGCCGAGGTGGGGCGGGGGTCGCGGGAAGGCAGCCCAGGTGGGATAAGAGGCAGCCTGGCCCCTCTCTCGCCCCCCCCCGTGGCTGGGACTTTGCGGACCCCGAATTAGCGCCTGGGCCCCGAGGTTTCTTGCACCGAAAGAGGAAGGAGACGGAAAGCGAAAGCGAAAGGGGGAAACTGAGGCATTTTCAGAGCTGAATCCACAAATGGCAGCAAAGAGTATAAGAAAAAAAGACGCTTTTTGGCAAAAGTGTTTTTGCAACCTCAGTTTTTCTTCTGAATCTCCATTTCTTTTTAAAGGGGAGGGAAGAGTTGAGCTTGGATTCCTTCTTGGGGGAGACTCTGAGGCTCCCATTGGTCCCTCCGCTTTCCTGGGCCCTCCCTGGTCCGAAGTTCGAGGAAAACGCCTCCTCCCCCCCAATCCAGACCCATCTGTTCCGCCTCTGGGGCTGGGAGCCTCCACGTCTCTCTTCCCTCTCTTGGGGGGCGCTGGTGGGGCGGCATCCATGGGCTCCCCTGGGCTCCCCCTGTTGCTGCTGCTGCTGGTGGGGGCGCTGGCCCGGATCCCCAGAAGCGAAGGGGGGAAGGAGACCCCCGGTAAGGAGGGGGCTGGGCGGGGGGAGGAGGAGGAGGTTGTGAGGGGCCGTCACTGCCTGGGAGGGGAGAGAAAGAAAGGGGCTGGGACCCTAGAAGTAGGGAAAGGGGTGCAGGGCAAGAGAGACGGGAGCCTCGATCTCCGCGTGGTCTCCGCCCCCTCCGTAAGGAGGACAGAGAGGGGTCGCGGGAAGGTAACCCAGGTGGGATAAGAGACAGCCGGGTCCCTCTCTGCCCCCCCCCCCGTGGCTGGGTGGGAGGGGGACTTTGCACACTCCGAATTAGCGCCTGAGCCCCGAGGTTTCTTGCAACGAAAGAGGAAGGAGACGGAAAGCGAAAGTGAAAGGGGGAAACTGAGGCACTTTCAGACCTGAATCCACAAAGGCCACCAAAAAGTTTTTTTTGCAATTTCAGTTTTTCTTCTGACTCTCCATTTTTTTTTCAAGGTGAGGGAAGAGTTGAGCTTCCTTTTCTTCTTGGGGGAGACTCTGAATTTGGGGAAGAGACGGAGAACCCCCCACCCCACATTCCCCCATTGCTGAACCGGGACCTGGAGGGGAGGGGGGAACTGAGGGAGAATGATATTGGGGGGGGTCTGAATTGCCCCCCTAAATTGGCTGCCCAAAACGATTTCTTTGGTGAGGGGGGCTGGAGACCCTCCCTTTGAGGTGGTCTTGAGGGGCTTCAGGGTGACAGGAAAGAGGGCTGAACCCCCAAATCACGCAAAGGCAGCCAGTAGGAGTTAATTTGGTGGGAAGGAAAATTTGGGGGTAACTAGGGAATCTGGGGGTTCCCTTCTCCCCAAGATCCCCAGACCCCCAAGGTCAAAATTGAGCAGCCCTCCCTCAATGGGGGGAGGGAAAGGACCCCCCCCCATCTCCTGCCTACAACGGGGTTCTTTCAGCAGCCCCAGGAAGGCTCTCCTTAAGGGAGCTTAAAGGGGCATCTAGTCCAACCCTTCCAGGCACAGTGAAAAAGGGAGACTCGCACTGAGAGTAATGGGGGGGCACAAAAGGAAGTCCACACACCCCCTCCAGTCCTGGCATGAAACACCCCCCTGAAGTTGCAGCCCCCAAGACTGAAAATCTTCCCCTCCCTCACCTTCTCCGCTTCTATTGGGAGGGATATTGGGGGGGGTCTGAGTTGCTCCTCTAAACTCCCCCTTTAGTGAAGGGGGCTGGAGCCCCTCCCTTTGAGGTGGTCTTGGGGGGCTGCAGGGGGGTCTTTTGGGGAGGGGGACAGAAAAGAGGCCTCAAACAGCATCCAAAGGCAGCTTGTAGGGCTGAAGATGGGGGGAGGGGGAAAAAAGGAATGTGGGGCTTGAAGGGCGGGAAGAGCCCAGGAGCATGGGTGTGGGTATCCTTATTGTGGCCCCCTTCCCATGTGGTCCCAAAAGGAAGAGGGAGAGAGAAGCTTGGATATTATTTTCCCTCCAGCCCAGAGGGGGGGTCTCTTCCCTCCCCCCATATTTTCTGACGGTTTGGGGGGGGCAAAGAGGCCCCACCGGGTTCCAGCGTTCCCTGCAGACGGACGGATGCCTGGACCGGCTGAACTTCTGCCTGCCTTTTTCCACCCTTGGGGGATGGAGGGGGGGTCCCTCAGGAAGCTCTTCACCCCTCCCTCATTTTCCTCCCCCCCTCCAGACCCCCACCAAGGGGGAAATTCCGCTGGGACCGACGGTTCCCCATCCCTCCTCCAGGGGGCGCCTTCCGGCAGGTCTCCCGTCACTCCGCCTTCCCGTCGCTCCGCCCCTCCTCTAGTAGCCGCTGGGAACCATGGGCCCTGGAGTCCCTCCTGAGGGCTTTCCTCTTTCTGCTCCATCCCCCCCCCGCAGCCCATTTCCTGCTCCAGGGGAAGGCCGAGTGCCATTTCTTCAACGGGACGCAGCGGGTGCGGTTCCTGGACAGGGAGATCTACGACCGGCAGGAGATCAGGTACTTCGACAGCGATCTCGGGAAATACGTGGCCGTCACTCCGTTGGGGCAGCCCGCTGTGGACAAGTGGAACAGCGATAAGGCCATCATGCAGTTCCAGAAGGCCTCCGTGGATTCCTTCTGCCGATACAACTACGAGGTTGCCCAGAGCAATTCCGTGGTTGGCCGGAGAGGTGAGTGGGGGAGGGGGAGTTCCATGGGGGGGGGAATGCAGGGACCCCCCCCTTTTCATTTCATTTATTAGGACTCTCCCGGATAAAGATTTGCCCCTGATTTATTCTGTACTCTCCGATCTACGAAATTTATTCATTGGTATTTATTGATATTTCTTGCTATTTATTGATACTCCTAATCCCTTCACCCCCCCTCAAAGCGGGGCTCTGGATGGTGCACTATATAACATCACCCCTAAATAAAAATGTATAAAAAATAAGGTTAAAAAATAAATTACCTTTAAAAAGTTTAAAATTCTACAACGATGACAATGAAACAATCAAAAGGGAAGAACTATATTCCTCTCCTTCCCATCAGTCCCATCATCTTCCTTCTCTTCCCAAGGTCCAAAGTTTCTCCTACCAAGAAAAACTTCTTTCCAGAATATTATACGAAATATTATACTTTTTTCTCGTGGGCGGGTAAGAATCCAGGAAAGATTCCTCTTGCCCAGTATATAGATATATTTCAATATAATCTATACACTATATAATATTTTAATATAATATTTTATATTAATAAATCAATAATATATTGATTTACTTATCAACTTTTAAAACCATCTCTCTCTCACACAGAGGGACTTTGCATGGTATACCCATAAAATATAAAACCACCAAAATAATCTATAGGATTTAAAAGACAAGAATGATTAAAATGCAGTAGTAAATTAAAAGGGGGAGGGCTTCAGGAGGCCTACCAGCCCCACGGCTCCCTCCTCCTCTGGGCCCCCCAAGCAAAGCCCCAGAGCCCCCTTTTCACCCCTTTCCGGAAGGCCAGGAATGGGGGAGGGGCTCCCTTCACCTCTGGGGCCTTTGGGATTTTAGGATAAAAACTTCCAAAGGTCTGGAAAAGGGAATCAGTGAAGGCTCTTTCGTCTGCTGGGCCCTGTCCCTCTTTTAGTTCTTTTTATTCTTTATTCAGAGTCATTTGTTCATCCAATTTTGGGGGTCTGAGAGAAAAGCCCCCCTGGAAACCCCACTTTAGGTCACAGACTCAGCTCCACCTGCAGCCAAATCGCTTCCCTCTTCATATCTGGGAAGGTTCCTCAATTGGGGGCAGA